GGGTCTGGGGTGCTCGTGCCTTTGTCCGCGATACCACCGCGGACAAGCTCTCCGCCCACGCTGTTCCTTGTGTCTTCCTTGGCTTTGTCCCTGACGCGCCTGGTTGGCAGTTTTACCACCCCACCTCGCATCGTGTCTTCCCCTCTCAGGACGTCACGTTCGACGAGTCGGTTCCCTTTTACCGTCTCTTCCCCTACCGCACTGCCCCTCTCCCCCCCCCGCCGCTCTTCCTCGCTCCAGGTGCTCCCCAGGTAGACCCCCTCCCCGCTCCCGGTCCTGCTCCTTCAGGTGTGTCTCAGGTAGACCCTCCTCCTCAGGTTGAGGTCACTCGTGACTCAGGTCCTGCTGAGGGTGGTCCTGCTCGGGGTGCTGCTGCTGGGGGTGCTGAGCCTGGGGGTGCGGAGCCTTGGGGTGCTGAGCCTGGGGGTGCTGAGCCTGGGGGTGCGGAGCCTGGAGGTGCGGAGCCTGGGGGTGCGGAGACTGGAGGTGCTGAGCCTGGGTGTGAGGAGTCTGGGGGTGCTGAGCCTGGGGGCGCTGAGGCGTCTGGTGAGCAGTCTCCCTGGAGCGGCCGTCTCCGTAGTCGCTCCGCTGGTGCCTCGCCGCTGCACTCTCGTCGTCGACTCCCTCTCTCCCCACAGCAGCTGCTTGAGTGGTACGCTGGCCGTCAGGGTCGCGCTGCTGGAGCTAGGGGCCCTGCTGCGGGAGGCGCTGGAGCTGGTGACTCTGCCACTGGAGTTGTTTCTGCTGGAGGTTCTGGAGCTGCTGAGGGTGCTGGCGCTGGAGGTTCTGGAGCTGCTGGAGGTGCTGGCGCTGGAGCTGGAGGTTCTGGAGCTGCTGAGGGTGCTGGCGCTGGAGGTTCTGGAGCTCCTGCGGGTGCTGGCGCTGAGGGTTCTGAGTCTGCTGTTGCGCGGTTTCCTTGGAGTAGCCGCCTTCGTCCGCGTGTGCCTCTCACCTCGCAGCAGCTGCACGACTGGTACGGTCGCCGTCAGGGTCGCGCTTCTGGAGCTCGGGGCTCTGCCGCTGGAGGTACTTCTGCTGCCGTCACTGGAGCTGGGAGTGGTGCTGGTCCGGGAGGTGCTCGTACTGGAGGTACTGGAGCTGCTGGGGCTGGAGGTGCTGAGCCTGAGGGTGCTGCTGCTGGAGGCACTGAGGCTGGAGTCCCTGGGACTGGAGGTGCCGGTTCTGGGGGTGCTGCTGTTGGTAGAGCTGGTCCTGGAGAAGCTGGCGCTGAGGGTTCTGGAGCTGCTGGAGGTGCTGAGCCTGAGGGTGCTGCTGCTGGAGGCACTGAGGCTGGAGACCCTGGGACTGGAGGTGCCGGTTCTGGGGGTGCTCCTGTTGGTGGAGCTGGTCCTGGAGGAGCTGGCGCTAAGGGTTCAGGGACTGCTGGAGGTGCTGGAGCTGCTGGGGGTACTGGAGCTGCTGGTGCTGGTGTCACTGCACAGCCGCGCCTGTTCTTCGCTCCACCGTCTCCGTCGTCTCAGCCACCGCCTGACTCTGTGCTTCGCCAGGTTCTTAGTCTCCCTTCGTCTACTGGTCTTCCGTTACAGCCTGGCTCACCGCTGCCTGCTCCTTCTCCTTACACTGAGCAGCTAGGGGGTCTTACTGAGCGTCGTGAGCCTGCGTCGCGTCCTGTCTCGCCTGTCTGTTCTGGTCGTTCCAGTCGTCGTGTTCCTCGTCCGCGTCTGCCGGCTGTCCCCGACACCCACCTCGTAGTCCGTCGTCCTTCCTCTCCTCCGCAGCGTGTTCCTCTGCCGTCCCCTCCTGCGTCTTCTCTGCCTGTCGTTGCGGACCCCGAGTCTGACTGGTTTCGTGCTGAGCACCCTACTGTCACGCGTCTGCTAGCCACTGTTGTCACTGACCCGTCGTTTGAGTCTGCTGCTACGTCTGCCTTAGTTGCTGAGCTTGTGGACTTTGCTGCTGCCTGTCGTCTAGACTACGCTGCTAGTCTTGTTGCTGAGTCTGAGTCTGTCTGTCCTCCGTCCGTCGGGGGTGAGTGTGCTCTTGGCACGGACGTCCTTGAGGACAGGCAGGAGGACCTTGAGTGTCTTGCAGCCGCTGCGCCTCATCTCGTGTCCATGCTGCTTGCCCCTGAGGGAGACCCGGATGCTCCAGACATCCCGACCCCGCGCTCTTACGCTGAGGCGATCGCGGGTGAGTACTCCTCTCAGTGGCAGACAGCCATGGACGCAGAGATGGCATCCTGGAAGTCCACAGGCACCTACGTCGACGAGGTTCCCCCACCTGGGGCGAAAATCGTCAGTGGCATGTGGATTTTCAGGGTGAAGCGGCCGCCAGGTTCTCCGCCTGCCTTCAAGGCGCGTTACGTTGCACGAGGTTTCAGTCAGCAAGAGGGAGTAGACATCTTCCAGACCTTCTCCCCCACCCCGAAGATGACCACTCTTCGGGTGCTGCTGCACGTTGCCGCTCAGCGTGACTACGAGCTTCACTCTCTTGACTTCAGCACAACCTTCTTACAGGGCAGCCTGCACGAGGAGATCTGGCTGCGCCGCCCACCTGGCTTCACTGGGTCGTTCCCTCCTGGTACCTAGTGGAGCCTCAGGCGCCCGGTCTACGGTCTCCGCCAGGCGCCACGTGAGTGGCACGACACACTGAGGACGACACTTGCGGCTCTTGGGTTTGCTCCGTCGACTGCTGACCCGTCGCTGTTTCTGCGCACCGACACTTCGCTGCCGCCGTTCTACATCCTCGTGTACGTCGACGACTTGGTCTTTGCCACTGCTGACACTGAGGCTCTCGCCCTGGTGAAGTCGGAGCAGCAGAAGAGACACACGTGCACAGACCTGGGTGAGCTGCGCAGTTACCTTGGCTTGCGGATCACCCAGGACAGAGCACGCCGCACCATCACACTGACTCAGTCACACATGGTGCAGCAGGTCCTTCAGCGATTCGGCTTCACCTGGTCCTCGGCACAGCACACTCTTCTGGCTACAGGTCACTTTCTCTCAGCTCCACCTTCGGACGAGTCCGTAGAGCCGAGTGGTCCTTACCCAGAGCTAGTGGGCTGCCTCATGTACCTGATGACCTGCACTCGTCCTGACCTTGCGTACCCTCTTGGCCTTCTGGCTCGCTACGTGGCTCCTGGTCGGCACCGAAAGGTGCACATGGATGCTGCTAAGAGGGTACTACGCTACTTGTGCAGTACATCGGGCATGGGGCTCGTGCTTGGAGGACGGAGCGACGTTGTCCTCACTGGGCACTCAGACGCTTCTTGGGTTGACGACCAGGCTACGCAGCGGTCGTCACAGGGTTACACCTTCAGCCTCGGCTCTGGTTCGGTTTCTTGGCGTTCTACGCGCTCGTCTTCAGTTCTCAGCTCCAGTTGTGAGGCTGAGATCTACGCCACAGCCATGGCTGCATAGGAGTTACGCTGGCTCACCTACCTGCTGACCGACTTGGGAGAGCGGCCTCGTTCTCCTCCAGTGCTGTACGTCGACAACAAGGCCGCCATTGCCTTGTGTCAGGAGCACAGACTGGAGCACAGAACGAAGCACATTGCTCTGCGTTACTTCCTGGCTCGAGAGTTGCAGCAGCGTGGTCAGCTTCGTCTTGCTCACGTGGCCACTCGGGCCAACACTGCTGATATATTCACCAAGGCGCTTCCGTCTGGTGATCATCAGCGTTTCTGCACTCTGTTAGGCCTTGTGCCCACGTTTCCTCACTTGCTGTAGACTTCGCTTGTACTGTGATCTATATATACCTGCATGCTTGCTCTGCTAGGTAGAGATCACTGTGCTGTTGTTGTTGCATATATACCCCTGCATGTGAACTGGCCTTGTGGCCCTTTGCTTGTGCTCAGTGTGTGTGGTGACGTTGTGATCCACCCTGAGCTTGCTTTGCTTCTCTTGACTGGTCTTGTGACCCCTTGCTCTCCCCCACTTTGCCTATGGGGGTGTGTCAAAGCATATGCATGTTCTATATGTGTAGGCTGTAGTGGGGTAGCCAATATGGGGTACAGCCCCTTTTAGGGTTTCATACTTGTACCCAACTCTTCCATAGTTCATTCATTCCTGTCTCTTGATTCTGACAAGGGCAGCTCGACTTTCGTCTGCAAAGCAGATCATTGCATCCACCACACCACACCTACCACCACCACCCGTGCCCTTCCCGCGCTGAAATAACATGATCCAGCCGTTGCCCTCATCCTAGCTACAACTTCGCCGCTTCCCACTTCACGGAAAAGGAGAGGCTCGACTCGACCCGCTACAGACGGCTGTGTCAATAACGGTTATTTCTTCCCCCTCCTTGATCCGCTCTCACACGATACCCTTGGAACGCATGCATTTTGACATCATTGCAAGAAGACTCGATTTCCTTTACTAAGTGACTATGATTGTTATAAAGTATAGATACTGGGCCCTCCAATACGAGCTCTACTGCTGAGAAGTGACCACCTTGGTTTGGTCGATTATTTTGTGGTTTTTTCGAATAATGGGTATATATTTCTGCTAATATTATCTAATGAGACGCATGGTGCACACTTCAAGACCTTGGTCTCTCAACAGAAATCATCACATCCTGTTCTTCCTCAACTAGAATCTGTTGGAAATCAGAACACAGTATAACGAATACTGTATACATGTGCTGTTCGGTTTTAGTGTAGGCCCCTTTATAAGCCTCCACGTCCTACATTAATTGTCACAATTATTGTAGGGCCAGAATTATTGGAGGCTAGCATTATTGGAGGGTGGAGGGTAGAATTATTGGTACACCATTATTGGTGTGAATGGGGTCATCATGGGAGGGGTAGATGGATGCATATATACCCTGCTGTGTCACCTTTTCAGCATCATTCCATCACTTCAATGATCAATCCTTTCAATGCAAGATTTCTATCTTGTTCTTTTCTACAAACACGTTTCCGCTACGCTGGCACTATGCCTTTCTAGCAGAACCAAACACAAATGGGAATGACTGTACTCCTAAGCACAAGCCCCTTATGAACGAAACAGAAACAGCCTCACACACACACAGGTGAAATGTCAACCATTGGTATAATGCAACTGCATACTGTCACTTGAATTGCCTTCAGCCAACGCATTCAGCCGCGCAATCTCTGCATCCAAATCTGCATCTGCCATCCTCTCCGACTCCACCTGCTGGTCCACCTGACAGGCGGCCGAGTTGCTACGTTCGCCGCCCAGCTCCACCAGCACGGCCTCCAGCTCGGCTGCAATCACCCCCATGGCCGGCCGCATGGCGCTCCGCTTGGCGGTGCATCGCAGAGCCAGCTGCACCACCCTCAACACCAACTCATCCCGCGCCTCCATGCGCGCGTCCTTTAGACCTGCCCCCACCCCTCTGTTGCCCGACTGAGCCAGCTGCTGCTGAACCTGGAGCAGATCAAGAAGGTTGGAGGTTGAGAGACAGAAGTTGGTGGATAAGGGAAGGTTGTGGATGCGTGAGAGAACGAAAAAAAGAGCGGAAACACGGCTACTGCCGGCACCCTTTCCATGCCCACTGACGTACCCAGGGAAGGATGTGCAGCTGCTGACCCGCCTCTTCATCGGAGGGAATGGCGGTTGAATTGGTGCTGATGTGGCGGCCCGTGATGAGCTCAAGCATGAGAATGCCAAAGCTGCACACCACGACACCCCGTGGACGGGTGAGGAGAGGAGAGGCGAGGAGAGGAGAGGAGATGAGACGAAAGCATGAGAGGCGCCCAGCAGCAGAAAGAAACCAGCTGGAGAAATCAAAGGGTCATTCAAAGGTCACCTGTAGACATCAGTGGCAGTGGTGGCCTTATTGGACGCGGCATAAGAGGGATCCACATAGCCCGGTGTTCCCACCACTCGCGTACTTTGCAGTGATGTGCCCCCTCCCTTCCTCACAAGCCCAAAGTCGGAGACCTTAGCCTGCACTCATGCATTGAAGACAATGGATATGGGCAGGAATGGATGGACAGTGAGTTCTACTGGAATCAAGTATCTCCGCGTGCTCTCTTAGCGTGCTCTCTTAGCGTGCTCTCTTAGCATGGATGTTTCTTAGCGTGCTCTCTTAGCATGGATGTCTCTTAGCGTGCACTCACACATCAAGTACATGAGGCGCACAAATAGGCCGCTCATGTGTGCATGCCCGTTCGTAGTAGTGCAGGCACGAGCCTGGCTGCATGCCTGCACCACGTGCCTGCATGTGCTCATCGAGCAGGATGTTGGCGGGCTTGATGTCGCGGTGCACGATGCCGAAGCTGTGGAGATACTCAAAGCCGCGTGCCGCCCCCACCAGCACGTTCACACGCTGCTCAAAGCTCAGCGACTTGGTAGCCTCTGCAAGGCAGTTGGGATGGGAACAGAGCAGTGGAGAAGGGAGACCTTTGGAACTAAGAAAGGGGGCCCCTGACCTCAAGCATGAAGAGGTATACCTGCACGACCAACTGGATGGGAACCCCTGAACTCAAACAGAACTTTAGTTCCTAAACCAGATTAAGAGCATTGCACGTGCACTGTTATAATACACACCTTCTCCGGTCCATTTCGAGAGGTCCCCGTTGGGCATGAGCTCGTAGATGAGGACTTGCTCGACTTTCTTCTTGTCAGTAATCCCAAGAGAGAAGCCAAGCAGTCGAACGAGATTGGGGTGGTGCTTCGTTGCCATCTCACACACCTGCCAGGGATGACGGTGGGTGCAGTAAAACACAACACAATGATCTATCTCACACTTGTTCACGTCCATCTCACACACCTGCCACGCATGACGGTGGGTCCAATAGAACATAGTCAATTATTTCTATGGCACTGCTGCCTACCCCAATGGCGTTTATGCGACACAAACACGCACGCACGCACGCACGCACGCACGCACGCACGCACGCACGCACGCACGCACGCACGCACGCACGCACGCAGTCTTCACATCACATCACATCACATCGCATCGCATCGCATCGCATCGCATCCCATCGCATCGCATCACATCGCATCACATCACATCGCATCGCATCGCATCGGAGCAGCACCGAAAAGCACAGCAGAGCACAAACAGGCACAGTGACACACCTCAGTATCGAAGTTGTTGGTGATGATCTTGGCTCGTGTTCTACCAAATCGCATCACACCACACCACGTCACACCCCGCCACACCACATCACGCTCACGCACCTCGGTGTCAAAGTCGTTGGTGATAATCTTAGCTCGCTTCACGGCCCACGGAGTGACACCATCGGTGGGAGAGACGGCGCGGTACACATCACCAAAGGCCCCCACGCCCAGCAGGTTGGCTTCCGCCCATCCGTTGGTCGCTTTTACCACCGCCTGCAGAGAATACTCCTGACACACCTGTGATACCGCCTTGCTGCTAGTCAGCGCTGCAGGGAGGAGGAGCAGACATCGACAGCAGATGTGAATTGAAGTGAATGGTAGATGTTTATACTGAGCACCCATGCCAAAGTGAAAAGTGTGAGAAAGCAGCTCAGGAAGCGCATGCCCCTGGCATGGATGGAAGGCTGCTTTGGAAAGCGAGCGAGAGAGAAAGGGGTGCGAGAGGAAGCGATGAGGGAGAAGCGGATGCAGAGCATGGTGACTGGAAATGGAGTAACGGTCCCGGAGGTATCGAGCAATGCAATCACTCTGGCAATCCAGTGATCCGATACTGAAGCAGCCACACGATTCATCATGCCGTGCCACAGAAGAAAAAGCAGCGTGAGGAGAAGTGCGAGGCGGTACGGTACGGGACGCACGTTTGTCAAAGCAGTAGAAGTAGAGGAGCGTAGCAAGCGCCACAGAGACAACAACACCCGCCACGATTCCTGCGATGACGGCCGGGGGCAGCGGCTTGCGCTTGCCACCTGCAAATGGAATAGGGGATTGAAACATACTTCATACTTCATTTACAAGTAGAAAACATGTCTCAGCGGAGCAGCTCGGCGCACAGTACAGCAGCAGATTCTCAAGAGGCGAGTGAAGCACCAAGAGGGCACGGATTGGCAGCTCAAAAGCTCGTGCTTGGATGGAAACACCTCTCCCCTCGTATCCCATCCCTTCCCTCAAGAGCGGAGCTTACAAGTGGTGCAGAAGTCAGGGCAGGTGCGGCAGAAGCCAGAGGATGAATCCTGAGGCACACCGCAGCTGCTGTAGCTGTCAGGGCATGTGAGACCGCTGGTGTTGGTGTCTCTGAGTAAGCCAAGCCAAGGAGGGAGCGAATGAAGAAGGGGGATCACAGAGAAAATGAACATTTTTGTTGAATCCATAGGAGGTGAGCTTCGCCCCTGCACTCCTCTACCCACACTCCTCTGCCTGCACTCCTCTGCCTGCACTCCTCTGCCTGCACTCCTCTGCCTGCACTCCTCTGCCTGCACTCCTCTGCCTGCACTCCTCTGCTTGCACTCCTCTGCCTGCACTTCTCTGCTCCTCTCGTTCTCCATTGCAGGCCATTGCATGTGGAGGGGTGTTTACAGGCTCACAGGCCTTCCCTCCCTTCCAGCTTCTCTCCATCCAAGGCATATTCACCAAGCTTTAACTCTTGCTGTTTTCCTGGAAGACCAAGTGGTTCAGCCCATGGTTCCTCTTCTCGTTGTGCATACTTGTCCTTGGCTGTCCTCTTTAGAGGATGGTTGAAGTACTTTTAGCTCGTTGGCTCGCTGCTGCTAGACCAGTGGATGAAGTACTTTTATTCCTATTACTTACAAAGTTGACAGATGGTGTAGCTTTCCCAGGACTGGGGGGATGGTTCCTTCCATATAGTTGGCCGCGACGCTTCTGCATGCATGGAATGCAGAAGCAAGGCAGATAGTCGCAACGAGCGAGGGAAAGAGGTTGTGGAGATTAGAGGGACGTGGAGAGAATGGATGGGAGTAGCTTGTGCTTGCTGGTTACTACGAGAAGGTATTCAGTGAGAACGAACATTAGAGATTCAGAGACACCAAGCGCGGTGGCACATGGAATGGAAGGGGGCATGGAGCACACCACACAACCACATTGGAGTGACTTTTGAAAAGTTACTCCACATTCTCAAAAGTCACTCCAATATGGAATGGAAGGGGGCATGGAGCACACCACACCACACAACCACGTCCCATCACAGTAGCGGTTGAATATGCACGGCAGCACGTGCACGCGCGCGCAGGCGTACAAACACACACACGCACAATATGGTTGCACAGTACGTGTGCATAGATCCATTGTGAAATCAGAGCGCATGTCTGGAGGGAAGAGAAACGATGGACGGAGATACAAGTGTAGATATAACACTCACAGGCTGACCAGGTTAGTCATGGTGGTGAGGGACTCAGGCAAGCTGCCAGTCAGTCTGTTGTTGGAAAGATTCCTGATGGTGCATGCACGCCATTAGAGGGGGGCATGGAGCATGAGAGGGGTGCGTAGACAGAACCGGGGGCAGGTGCAATGGCAGGTGAGCAAGAGCAGCATAGCAAATGCTGACAGAAGCATGCATGCATTGCACATACATGCATTGCACATACATGAATTGCACATACATGCATTCCACAGACATGAATTGCACATACATGCATTGCAAGGGAGGCACTGTCTAATCCCTAAAAATTGCAGCACGCACAAGAATTGCAAGGAGGGCAGGCTAACGACTTGTAGCACTTGGTTGTCATTCAACTGGTTTGATGAGAAATCCCTGTTGATTCATGCCCACCCCGCCATGCATGTGCCACCAGAATGCACAACCATACACACACATGCACGCACACACACACATACACACATACACACATGCGCACATGCACACATACACACATACACACATGCACACATGCACACATACACACATACACACACACACACACACACACACACACACACACACACACATGCACGGACGCACACGCATGCACACGAGCATTCATACGCACATGCACGCACGCACACGCACATGCACGCACCCACATGCACACACACATGCACGCATGCACGCACACGCATGCGCACATGCACGCACACACATGCACATGAATTCTCGCACGCACATGCATGCGCACACACACACGCACAAAGACACACACACACATGCACACACACACACACACACACATGCGCACACACACACGCACATGAATGCTCGCATGCACACGCACGATCCCACATGCACATGCACATGCACATGCACACGCACGCAAACACACATACGCACACACACACACACACACACACACACACACCCCACAACCACACACACACACCCCACAACCACACCCCCCCCCCCCCCCCCCCCCCCCCCCCCCCCCCACACACACAAAACACACACAACGCACAAATGCACACACACACACAAGGAACAGGAAAAACATGTTGAAACACTTAAATTCGTGCCATGTGGTCCAGCAGTTGAAACGCTTGTAAGGGCTTGGGGATGCAGCTTGGCAGCGATTTGGGATGCAGCTTGGCAGCGATTTAAGATGCAGCTTGTGAGAGTGGAGAATGGAATGCTGTGCACTGACATGGTGATGGTGATGGTGATGGTGATGGTGATGGTGATGGTGATGGTAATGGTGATGGCAGCAGAACGACTCATGAGTAATGAATACTGATCACACTTGAGTGAAACTCATTTGGGAGATGTGACTTGGATGTAACACCACTGGCAATAAATTGAGAAAGCACTCAAAAGGACATTCCTTGAGGCTCGAACGCGTGCTTCTTCCTTATTCACCATGAGATGCACAACGTCGGTCGTTGTTCACTCACCACACACGGTGGGGCTGGGATAAACACATGATGATACAGCAGGGCAGGCCAGGGCACACAGGTGAATGGCGTACAGTTTCACCAGCTTGGTGAGTTTGCTGCTCATCACCATATTCTCAATATACACGATGCCGTTCGATGGAAGCTCTCTGCACAGAAGGACGGCGACGGATTGATCAGGGGTGAAAACACAAGCAGAATCAGGCAGTCAGTTTTGAGGCACCTCAAAGGGAGGAGTGCAGCGGGTTTGTCAGGGCTGAGTACACAAGCAGAAGCAGTGGTGCTGGGGTGCTGAGTACACAAGCAGAAGCAGTGGTGCTGGGGTGCAAGCAAGGAACCACTGACGGGGAGCCGCTGAGGGGAGGAGTGCAGGGAGGGAGCAGTGACGGGGAGAAGCGAACGATTTGGGCTTAGGGGTAACAAGTGTGGAGAACGGGTGAGGGGAAGGGGCATAACGGGTGTGGGAACAGGTGTGGAGAACGGGTGTGGGGAACGGGTGTGGGGAACGGGTCTGGGGCTCACAGATCCACGGGGAACGGGCGCAGGGAACAGGCGCGCGCGGGGAACAGGTTTGGGGAACGGGTGCGGGAAGGGGTGTGGGGAACGGGCGTGGGGAAGGGGTGTGGGGAACGGGCGTGGGGAAGGGGTGTGGGGAACGGGCGTGGGGAAGGGGTGTGGGGAACGGGCGTGGGGAAGGGGTGCGGGGCTCACAGTTCCATAAGATTGGTGAGCCGGAGCAACCTGTAATGCTCATTCTTAAACCAACAGTTGCTTAGTCTCCTGTGTGTCATGGAGCACAACAGAAGGGGCATTTCGCACGGAAGAACAGCACATGAAACAATGGCATGCAATGCCATGCAATGCCATGCAATGCCGTGCAATGCCATGCAATGCCGTGCAATGCCATGCAATGCCATGCAATGCCATGCAATGCCTACAATGCCATGACATTCCATACCACGCATAACTGTGCCACGCAATGTCATTCCGTGTCATACCATGCTAACTGTGTTTTTGTTTTCTAAATTGCGTGATTGTGGGAGTGGGTCTAATCACAATGCCTATCATGTGCCTCACTCGCAAAAAGGTAGATACCCACACGTGCTTACAGCCTAGTGAGCTCTGTGAGCTTGGTCACCCCCTCGGGGAGTCCGGAAGGAGTGTACGACTGGCAGTCCACTGCCCTGCGAAAACAAATGTTCCGGGAAAACCACATGCGTCAGGCAAATCAGATGCATCAGACAAATCAGCGGATCGATCTTCCTTCGTGTTGCGGATCGACCTTCATCCGACAGGCAAAGCCAGCAAATGGGCCTTCGCAGTTCTAGGTGGGACTCACAGGGACTTGAGCCAGGTCATGCTGTAGAGGGCCCCCTGTGGGATGTTGGGCACTTGTAACAACTCCCTGTGTGTGTGTCACATACGGGGAACAACAGGGAGGGAAGGAAAGCATTCACGAGGTCACACACACAGTAGAGAGCTCGATGAGGTGAGGTGAGCAAGTGTGTGCGTTTCTCAAACGAAGAACCAAGATGGGCAGGTGCGCACTCACGAGGAACCATCCATGATCGTGGTGATGGTGACGGTGACGGTGACGGTAACGGTGACGGTGACGGTGACGGTGACGGTGACGGTGACCGTGATGGTGACCGTGATGGTGATGGTGATGGTGATGGTGATGGTCGTGATGGCTATCAAACACTGTCGCCTGAGTGGTAATGTATCAACGCTTTGATATTCCACAAGAGCAGCAGCGCGATAAGAAACAGATGCGCACTAGCTGGTTTCAATGAGGCACGGAGGACCATAGTTGTTAAATGGAAAGGGCGAAAGCACAACATGGAAGCTCAGAATCTACTTGGCATGGCAGTGACCCCCTTCCCACTCCCACACCCACGCACTCATGCACACACACACACACACACACACACACACACACACACACACACACACACACACACACACACACAAACACGCACTCATACAAACTCCACAGTCTTTTAACACTATGCATCCCATCCAACTGGCCAAGCCAAGAGCAGCGTGAGAGCGCAGCGCACAGGAGCAACCTGACGTCGTGCACATGACGGCAGGGGCGTACGTACAGCTGGGTGAGGCGCGACAGCGTGGTGGCAGAGGCGGGTTGCAAGGGCTCCAAAGACATCTTCTTCACGTGCCTGCGCACGCACAGGACGGATGGGCGTTGGAGGGAGGGGGGATGGGCGTATAAGCGGCGATGGCGGTTTGCAGGGGAGGGGGGAAGGGAGGGTGGTGGGAGTCTGTGGGGGAAGTGCGCATTTGCTGGTGGGGCACGTGTTTGTGTTCTGTGGGATGGACCGTCTGTGCGCATTTGCTGGTGGGACTCATAAGTGGCCGTCTGGACGTCGCTACAAAACGAAGAGCAATGGGGGCCCGCCCGCCCTGCCTGAATGGAGTCAAGTGAGGCCACGAGAGGAACAGGTCCTTGCAAGCGATAACAAGCGGGAATCTAAGGGTCTGAGGACAACAGAGCGGCTGTGAGTGAGTGAGTGAGTGAGTGAGTGAGTGAGTGAGCTCGGTTTGAATCGGGCCTGGGAAGCATGCAGGTTGAGTTGGAGCTAATGTGTGTTGAAACTTGGTGAGGGGAGGTTTACAACGATATGGAGGTAGCTGGCAATGTGTATGGCACGGTGCGGTGGCGGTGCGGTGCGGCACAGATGGCACGATAGGACACAGCAGGGCGTGCACGCACATGGAGGTGATCATGCCGTCTGAGTCGCATGTGAGGCCTTCGGCTTGCTTGCAGTCGCTCCCCGCCTGCCAGCCTGTAAAGTTTGCTTCCCAATTCCCACTCGTTGAGTACCAAGACTGCTGCAGCTCCTGTAGCACAGCACCTGCCGTGCAATCGGCAACAGCAACAGCAACGGCAACAGCAACAGCAACGGCAACAGCAACAGCAACCGTGCAAACGAGGGGGGAAAGGCTGTGAGGGAGCATTAAAGATGACTAGTGCGGGGCAGTGTAGGTATGGTGGGCGTGGGTGGGGAGGATGACGAAGCGCAGGACTTGTATCCCCAAGAAGCAAGCAAGGACGTGGAAGAAGGGCCCTTTGATATCTCTGGTCACCAATTATCACCATCGTAACACCTCACACACGGAGACTTTCGTTGGCGGCTGGCTGGCTGGCTGGCTGGCCGGCTGGCTGGCTGGCTGGCTGGCTGGCTGGCTGGCTGGCTGGCTGGCCGGCTGGCTGGTTCTCGCCCTCAGCGTCAGTAAGAATTTTATCTCTACACACGAAAATACACAGCAAGCATGGCCGTGATCCCACCGTGCAAGCCGGCTGAGGTGGTGAAATTTCAAGCGCGGAGCGTGTGATTGCGCACATTGGGTTACCAACGCACCTTGAGAGTCCGCGATGGGCTGTGCGAGCGACGTGCACGGCAGGCAGCAGCATGCGAGCGCCGCGACGAGCGCCAAGAGACCGCGACGGGAGCCGCGATACGTCGCCATGGCCGGCAGCTTCAGGCGTCCGGCTGACTGCGACAGCTTCATGGCTGGCGGTCTTTTCTCAATCTACCGTTGTTCGGCACCCACCAGCCTGCTTGTCAGATTTCTAGATATACCACCACGTAGCAATCGGACGGACGGCCGAAACGGTACGTGGAGAATCTACAGCGCGTCGCGCCGAGCCCCGTTATCTCTGCCACGCGTCGCGCCGGGCCCGAATTTGTCCCGTTATCTCCGCCGCGCATCCTCCGCGAAGTGAAGCGCAGCTCGCTTCTCACTGATTACTATCAAGGCGCGAAGGGCGAGGTGGATGATGATGCAAGTGTTGAACTCCTGGTGGCGAATGATGATGCGGGGCTTTTCAAGGATTCTCACAGCAAACTCCTGCGTACGTGGGCCTTCAAGAGTGACAACACCGACAGGAATCCGGTGAGGCGAGTTAATTTCGAATACGAAATTGTGCTGCGGTTGATACGCACTATTTCGACAAGGACGGCACGGGGTAGTATTCTGCCTTGCCTGGCCTGCTCGTTCACGGAAACTGGGAGGGGACGGAGGAGGGAGCACCAGAGAGCAGAGCAGGACAGGATGGTCGTAGCGAGAACGCAGACTACGGCGGGAAGAAGGCAACGTGTCGTGTCTACGCATTCTGATCTCGGCCACTCCACCTGCCGCCATTATTGCTCTCCTCGTCGCTTGGAAGCAGCTCTCATCACTCTGGAACCGTGAAAGTCGGCATTGAGCCCAGCGCACATGTGCCGTGCCGTGTCCTTCCCACCACAATTATACAATTGGAGTTTCTCGATACTGGTCCGGTTTGTTTGGGGTGGAAAAGTCAGCTTCAGTGTAGAATGGCGCAGGTTTTGTTTAGCTATAAATGGTAGATTATTACGGTACCCTCTATTTTCCCCAAACCTCACTCCTCTTGGCTCCTTGGAAAACCCCTTTTGACCCGACACAGAGCGCCTCCCAGTCCAGATGGGGTTGTGATGCGGGATGGCATTTTCTCTGAACTACCAGAAAGTGTTACAATCCCACAAGAAACTTAGCCAGGAGGATCAGCCTCAGAATTGATCGCAGATTGATAATGCAACGAAACAATAACGGCCTCACACACAGGTGAATTGCCAATCATTGGTGTTATGCAGCTGCATACTGTCACTTCAGCTGCCTTCGAGCCAGCGCATTCAGGCGCGCAATCTCCGCATCCAGATCTCTGGCTGACTCCCTCTGCGACTCCACCTGCTGGTCCACCTGCCGGGCGGCGGAGTTGCTACGTTCGCCGCCCAGCGCCACGAGCACGGCCTCCAGCTCGGCTGAAATCGCCCCCATGGCCGGCCGCATGGCGCTCTGCTTAGACGTGCATCGCAGGGCCAGCTGCACCACCCTCAACACAAGATCATCCCGCGCCTCCATGCGCGCTTGCTTCAGCCAAGCCACCACCGCCCTGCTACCGGATAGAGCCAACTGCTGCTGAACCTGCAGTGCAGCACAAGATGGATGGAATTTGAGTCACAGACGGTGGTGTATACGGCAAGGTTGATAACGAATAAAGAGCGGAAACACGGCTACGGGGGCACCCTTTCCATCCCCAGCGACGTACCCAGGGAAGGATGTGCAGCTGCTGGCCTGCCTCCTCATCGGAGGGAATAACGAGAGAATTGGTGGCGACGTGGCGGCCCGTGATGAGCTCAAGCATGAGAATGCCAAAGCTGCACACCAGGCAGCCCGTGGATGGGTGACGAGAGGAGAGGAGAGGTGCAGAGATGAGGGGAGAGGAGAGGAAAGCATGAGAGCTGCCTAACACCAGAAGCAAACCACCAGAAGAACATTGAAGGTTCATTGCTCACCTGTAGACATCACTGGCAGTGGTGGCCCTATTGGACGCGGCATAAGAGGGATCCACATAGCCTGGTGTTCCCACCACTCGTGTGCTCTGCATTGCCGTGCCCTCTCCCTTCCTCACAAGCCCAAAGTCTGAAATCTTAGCCTGCACTCATGCATAAATGACGAAGGATATGAACAGGAATGGATGGATAGTGAAATATGTAAGAAATTGGCATCTTAGCTCGCACACACACATGGTATGCAATACATGAGCAAACGATGTGGAGAAAGTAAAGACAATGAATTGCGGGCAGGAAAGAGCGGAAAGAAAATCCAAATACTCACTCGTGGACGATAGAAAGCATGCATTGCAGATGAAGGTGCTCAGTGTTCATTTTGGATCTTCAGTACTTGCAGTAGAGCCAGTTCAAAGCACTGGAATTGGTCCTTGCCACATACTCACTCGTTTTGAAACGCTATACTGACATGAACCCAGTGTGACATGAACCCAGTGTGACATGAACCCAGTGTGACGTGTTGAAAGTCCGTGCTTATTGACTACTCAGTGCTGAGCATTAGGCTTAATACTTACGGAGCCAAGTGCAATGTAAGGTTATATACTTACCCCGATTCAGTGGCAAGTTTCCAAAATCAACTTTCCATACTAAACACTATCATTGGTTCTTATCACAAGCTTGACGCTTACTGAGGTTTGATGCTTCCAATTGTTGCTATGCTAACCAGTGGTTTTGGTGGGGGTCTCCAGCGAGCAGAATTTGATTTGGTGCTTACTAAAGAGTCGGTGGTGCTAAACCTTACACTTAATACTTACCAATCAGTTGGTGCCACATGTTAGGTCCCGTACAACGCCCACGGCCCTAAACGTGGAGCTTGTTGCTTACCAAAGGACTCAATTGTCTTAAGCAATTAATTTAGGCTTTACCAAAGACTCGGTGATAAGATCGATGCTACTCATATACCCATGAACTCGGCGTTAATCCCCATGTGTCCTTGGCTGTTTGAGCATGTGGCGTAAGGAAGTGGGAAGCTGTGGTAATAACGCAGCCTACTTGCCTGCATGTTCTGATCAAG